ACAGTTTTTGAATTTAAACAAATTTGTTAACCGATCAAAGTGAAACAGTAATGCATAAGTGCCATTAATATGGCACTTACATACCTACAATATAATTAAGTGTCGTGCATGATAATTATATGTATTATGTCGATATACGCTTGGTAAAGAACACAATGTAAACACTCGTCGGTACACGTATATTAAAATGTAAAACGTACCGATAAATAATAATAGTAATGATAATAATAATATTCTCCTGCTGTGCTCCGATGCCGCGCGGTATATAAGTAATAACATTATTTTAGAACGTATAATAATAATAATAATAATATGATATGATCCACCCACTCCTGCGGTTCCCCCCTATTGCAACAATCGCGACGGAGGCGGCAAGGATCCGTCTGTCAAAGCCACGTGCTCGTCTCGAACGCCGCGAATACCGGCAGTCACCCGCGTTCCGTTTGCCCGACCGCTACACACTGACCAGATAAATAAAAAAAAAATGATAAATATAAACGTATAAATAAAAAATAATACTCGTCAATGTTTCATACCTATTGCAATCGTAATAATAATAATAACAATAATTTATAAGTCGACGGCTCGATTTCGATTTCATTACTATGCGAGTTACCACGTTACACGCGTGTCGTATCGATAGCCGTTCGATAACGATCGTAGTTGATTGAATCGCGCGTGTTCGAGTGCAGTAGTGTGTTGTGGTGTGCAATAACGACGGCGTCCGATTAAATAATATATATTGTTATTATTTTTTTTATTTTTTTTATTATCATTATTATTATTCACTCGTCGGACGAATCAATATTTTTGTATTCGTTCGTTTTAATGGTATCGCGATTCCTTCGGCGCGGACTATGCTGCAGACCGGGGATATCAGGCGTGCCAAGTCAATGAACAATCATAATTGAAAATTTAAACGAAAACCAGGTAAGTGGTACATAATATTCAAATATTATTTGCGTTATAAAATCGGRAAATGGTATAAACTCCTGCAAATGTAATGTAATCAGTGACTAATCACCTACAAAAGATAGTGTTAACTCCTATAAAAAATAGTGTTAACTCCTGCAACATTAATACATAATATGCTACAAAAGTACATACTTAAAACAAAAATTGTTTAAAAACAAAAAAAAATTAATAAAACAATACCTAGTCATGATCATTTACGATTATTTTTGTGACATACTTTGGAGGTAAACTCTAAACGTAAAATGTCTCCTCGTATATATTTATTTTTTTGTGTATGTATAAATTCATATTTTATTAGTGCTTGTATTTTATATACCTATCTATTATTTTCAAATTATGATCAATTTTAGCTTTTTAACTCCAAAAATGTCCGTATAGGAGATTACAGTATCTTTGGTTTTCATATAAAAATGTAAAAAGGTTTTTGGTTTAGGAGTTAACATTTAATGATGATTCAGGTAAAAGGTTATTCGTGTAGGAGTTTAYGTTTGACCRTAAAAAGTCGATGTTACAAATACGAAATAATAATGCTTTACCTGCAGTACGGCTTATATTTGGAAAAAATTTCATATTTTTTTATGCTGAAATTTTATGTTTTTACAATATAATTATACCTATATCACTTAAATATTATTTTGTACTCACAATCCAAAATTATGATATAAAGCCGTTGGTTTCTAATTATTTTGAGGTAGGTATATATCGTATATTTTACAACGAATATTCGAAATGGATTTAGAATCAGTTGAAAACATTAATTGTAAGCTAATAAAATTAAATAGATACTTGAGAACATTTTTTTTATAAAAAAAAATAACACCTAATAATAATAATATGATAAATACACTATTTTCAATATSATATTGGTCGAAATAAATTATTTTTCTGTTAAAAATATTTGATCACTTTGTAGCCGACTATTGAAGTTTCTCTAAAATMATATTATATCATGTAGGTACATTGKAAAYATTTTTAGCAGAAGTRCATACCTATCGATGCTATATAAATATTAAATATTAATGAAATGAACATCGATCGTTGAAAWKCTTTGGTAAAATATATTTCAATGAATATACTTATAATATTATTAAAATAGTGCAGAATTTAATAGAATATGAAATAAATCATTACGCGTAATAAATACTGACCTACTATAAGATACTGGCTTATAGCACGAAAGACGGACCAGATAAATCTCCGGAAAAATTTAAATAATGTATGTACGTGCAGTGGTACAGGTGACTAACATCGTGTTACAGCGTTTACTTTATTTTAAAGTACATACATTTTTTACCGATTTTAAATCACCAGTTATTGTTCGAGGATAATAATATTATAGTGTGGTAAATGTGTAATAATAATRCTCCACTGCATGAATAAAACATTCGAAAAAATGTAAGACGGTTTTACTGAAATATATTCGCAGTAGGTATAGAGGTAGYTGAAGTAATGATAAGTCGTGTGGGTCAATGATAATAGATACGTCAAATCGACTTGATATTATAGGGATACGGAAAGGAAAAAAAAGTAGGAAAAAAAAACGATTAACCGGTTTTTGTTGTATGGTCAGAAGAATATAATATATATATATATATATTATATGAAAAAAAAAAAACAGTAAGAAGAAATATACCTACAGTACGTGTGTCGTATGATTGAAAAAGCCGACAACCGTCATGCGCTCTCTAGCTAGACAGGATTGTCGTGTGTGTTTAAACGGCTCCAGAAATGGCAAAGATGGCCCCAAAACAGCTGCAGCCACCGCGATGTCTGTAATTGGTAAAATTGGTCGGGGAATTTTTTTTTCTTCTCGTAGGGAGGCGTAATTTATTTTAGGCGACTTCCAACGACACCTTTTTAGGATATGCCCATCTTTACGAACATCTCGGTCACGAACTATGGTCTTTAACGTTATAGACACTTATGCGTCGGACGTGTAATAAGGGAGTATAATATATATTCCGCACCATTGTCTTAATAGTGACCGTGTAAATACAATGCGATGGYTTTCGTAAAAAGTAAACTATATTTTTATTCAACAAATGGATTTTTTTTTCATCAATTACACCAAAACGACTGGCGACAACTATGAAATAAAATCATCCGATATAAATGTTGGGCCTCTGCAGTAAAATCTGATGATTTACTATAGTGAGAAAGTCATTTATAGGTTCACAAATAACATTTTATACTTATATAGCTGAACCCGATGGCTATACATCGTAGATGAACATCGACATGTATAGGTACAATATCATCATCATCATAGAAAAAATAATAATACTTATAAGTTCATAAAAATACTTTCTTTTAAATTTAATAGTGTCGTAGACTTATAAAATAAAATTATTATTAAAATATAGCMTATTCAAAATATTATAATAACAGCGCGCTTAGAGCGATGGCCATAAGTAACTTGTTAAATCTGAAAACAGCATTTATCTAATTACACAAATAGCATACAAAATAACTGTTTGCTCAAACCATTCTCACGATTGTAAAAACGAAAAAAATATTTACGTTCTCCGTCTTGTTATGATATAATCAAATTTATTAAACTGCCTGAACAATTTTCAAGCCTGCGGTTTCCATCCAAATGCATTTCATCACGTCGTCGTCGTCATATTAAAATCTGTCGATCCGAATAATCATAGATTTAAATATTGATCATAACAACATAATTACGATATTATACTTTTTAACCATATAGGTATATATATATACTATTCCAAAGCACAAAATTTCATTAGATCCATAATGTTAATAATATATTGTGTTTCATTAAACACAATGAGTTAGTTACTTATTGTAATGTCGTGTAATATTTTCTATTATAATAATCTCACTGCTGTTCCACAATGTACGCCGATTCACTGCAATCATTAAACAACCGTTTATTTTAATAAAATATAAATATGTAATTAGTATTGTGTTATTTCATAAAGTAATAAATATATTCCAAGTTCAATGTATAGGTATGTCTGTATAATTTTTCAACGTGACTTCTGTAGCAGACCTACCGCGCTGGAAAAATAACGATCATTGGACCATAAACGTTGTACCTGATATAAAACATATATGTAAAATACATTGGTGACTGGTGAAATTCTATTGTTGCATAACATGCCGAATGCATCAGGTGGGTCAAACTTTGTGAATCAAAGCAAATCGAGGCGTAAAGATTTTTTATTTAACGAGATGGCGTATAAGAGAATACATATATTAGAAAAGTGCATTGTGTTGCGATGAATAGTTTATGATGTACCTTGTATATTCGTACGGGACGTGAATTTAATAATTCAATAATAATAAAAAAAAAAAACTGTTAATTACCTATTGTAGTCTTAACCAATAAAAACTATTTACGGTGATAAAATAAAGTGCACCTTTACTAACCTGGATCCAATATAGTGTATGTTA